CCCTCCCGGCGCTCAGTGCTCGGGGTCGGTGCGTAGCTGAGGGGCGGGGGCAGACCCCAGTGCCGTGCAACCCCTCCTCTCCCCCCCTCCCTCCTCCCGTGGAGGTCCCGGTGCGGTGCAGTGTTGCAGTGCGGGGCACTGCGGCTGGAGCTCCTGAGCTGCGGGACGCGGGGAGCAACGCAGCGCGGGGGGGAAACGGCCAGAACCCCCCCACAGCCCCGGCCCCACCGAGCTGCCCCGCACGCCGTGCCGGTACCGGGATGTTCCGCACTTACCGTGGCTCCGCGCACCCGTGCGGTGCCGGCCCGCGGCGGGGGGATGCGGGGGAGGGGGGGGGCGACCGCAGGAGAGCTCCGGTGCTGCCGGTGCTGCCGGTGCTGTCGGTGCGGCTCCGCGCAGGGGGCGGCACTGGGAGCGCGGCCCGGCCCTGCCCGGCTCCCGGCGCTGCGCAGGGCCGCCGGCTGCCAAGGTCACCGGTACCGGCACCGGCACCCCCGGTACCGCCAGGCGGGCGGGGAAACGGCGGGGCGGCCCCCGGGGGGGGCTGGAGCTCGGCAGGGCGACCTCTCCTCCCCACCCCCTCCCCCCGGTCCGTCCCTTAGAACAAGGGCAGCACCGGGGAGGGGGCACGGATGAAGACCCTCAAATCGGTCGGGACGTGAACGGGCACCCGCGGGGCATCCCTAAACGTGTGCACATCCCTGCATGTCTGCACAGCTCTACACACGCGTGCACAGCCCCACACACACGCATGCACCCCTCTGAGCCCCACATGCATCCCCGCTCCGCGCAGAGTCCCCCCTCCCTGCATCATCCCCAGCACCAAGGGCAAAGCAAGGGCAGCACGGGCCGGGGGGGCGGGGGTTTTACGGGAGGGGGGACATGGGCAGCTGCTCTGGGGACACAGTGCACACACACCGGTGTTACAAAGCCGGACCCGAACTCCTTTATTTTGTAAACAGGTTTGTTTTTTTGTGGTGTGCTCCATGCTTCTGCATTCCAACAGCCAGAACGCGGGTGGGACGGGGGAAGGGGAGGGGGTCCATCACTCCCATCACTAAGACTCCTCCCAGGCCACCCAGCCGCACACAGAGCCCGCCGAGTCCCCCCAGCGCATCCAGGACCACGGGGGGGCACCAGAGGGACAGGGGCATCGCACGGGACCCCTCCACAGCAGCATCCCATGGAGGGGCTGGCAGCTCACTGGTGTTTCTTGCCCCCCTGCAGGCTGCTGGAGGTGATGGGCAGGAAGAACGCGGGGCTGTGCAGGCAGCGGAGGGCGAGGAGCTGCGGCCCCAGCGCATAAAGGACGTTTGTGATGAGGAAACTCCACCAGACGTCTTCGGGGGTCTGGTATGGGAAGGGCGTGCGGGAGTGCAGTGAGGAGCCCAGATGGGAGAACTGCGCCTGGGGACAGAGGAAGGGGTGGCACCGAGGGGTTCTGCTCTGCCCCACGTCCTATCTATAGGCTGCAGGCTCGCTCCAGCCTATTTCTGGCAAACTCATCCCCGGCTCCATTAAGATCCACCGAGGAATAATTAATTATCGGGCTGTAGAGGCAGCTCTGGGAGCTGCTCCAGATGCAGGGCGGGTGCCCACTTGCAACCTCCTCTTCCCCCCCCCCAGCTCCTTGCCCTCACCTGTGCAATGGCCCCAGCGAACACCAGGCTCCAGTCGGGCAGCCAGGAGCAGCCCGGGCGCAGCAGAGCGTAGATGCAGAGGCAGAGGAAGGGGAGGATGTAGAACAGGTAGATCAGCATCTGTGAGCAGAGGGACGGAGCAGTCGTCGTGTCCTGGGTGGCACAGGGGTCCCCACCGCCCGCACTCACCTGCACTTTGGGGTAGGCGACGGGGTCACGCAGGTAGGGCTCGTGCTGGTAGATGTACTCAAAGCAGGAGTCAGCAGGGCAATCCAGCACCACCTGCACGGACCCAAGGGTGGCAGGAGCCCACCCCAGTGCAAAGTCTGCCCCCCGCCACCCCTCCCCACGGCGCATCTGGCCCCCAAGCACTCACCATCCCCCTGAAGAAGGTGAAGGAAGCCATCAGAAGCAGGACCAGCACCAGCACCAGGTCGTGGGGCCGTTGGTGCAGCCACCTGCGCTGCTCCCGTTCAGTCTGGGGGGGGAGATAAGGGTTGTTGACGCCCCGTGGTGCTGGGCTGTGCCCCATGGTGATGCCCCACGGCCGGTGCCGCCCAGCCCCTGCCCCATTGGTGCCCACCTGCTCTGCTGTGAGGCACGGCACAGCCCTGGGCTGCTGGAAGAGCCGCCTGCCCGCCCAGATGGGGATGAGGACGTAGGGCAGATTGAGCAGGAAGGCAGCGTTGATGTCGGAGCTGTATTTGCCTGAGGAGGAGGACGTGGGGTGGGTGGGGGCAGCACATTGCCCAGCACTCATCTCTGGGGCAACACCATGGGGTGCTGTTGGTGCTGGCGTCCCCCCCACAGCCCCATTACCTATCAGGTTCCCAAGCAGGAAGACGAGGATGCTCATCACCAGAGAGCCCAGCCAGAAGAGACCCAGGCTCCTATAGCTCTTCCTGCAGAGTCAGTGCGGTCAGAGCCCAGCACACAGCCCCCCCTCCACCCTCCCCCCCACCCCCAGCCCCCCGGCCCCGCTCACCGCTGGCTCATGGCTGTGATCATGGCAAGGTACAGCCCGTAGTGCACGGTGCCATCCCAGTAACAGATCATGATGCCGTGTGCTGTGCGCAGGTACGGCTCACCCTGAGCAGACAGCAGACATCACAAGGTGGGGGTGAGCACCTTCCCCACCCCCAAACCCCCTCAGGGTGAGTCGGGTGCTGCTTTTGGCCACTCCAATGATTGCAATGGGGCTGTACCTCTCTCACGTAGACCTCTGCAAAACCCGAAATGAAGCCATCCTCCTCCAGTGAGATGATCAGATCGATGGCAGAGACAAAGGAGAACACCACGAACACTGCACGAAGCAGCAGGGAGGGCTCAGCGTGTGACCCCACTGCCCAACAGGGAGACTGGGGGTGCTGGGAGCCCCGGCACTCACCGCAGAACAGGGGGTCCTGGAAGTAGCTCCCAGCACTGGCAAAGTAGATGAAGGCGAGCAGCACAGCAAGGAGCAGCACGGCCACCAGCAGCAGTGTGTTGCTGTAGGACAAGAAGGGGGGTCAGGCAGGGGGGGCCCGTGTCCCCCGTGTGCCTCATTTCCCCCATCCAGCTTGCTGATTATAAAATGAACAGGCAATGAGAAGACAAACGCTGCAGATTTGTCTGAGGAGTGCAAAGAAATTATAGGCAAACCCGTCCTGAGCTCACTGCTACCCTCCCGGGGGAACTGCATTAGCGGGGGTCTGCTCCAGCCAATTCTTCTGCCTCTCGTGTCTTCTGAACACGTTACGGCATTTTTCACCCCAGCCTTTAACCGCAGCACCAAAGAAATGGAACAGGGGAAGCGCCGCTCGCTGAGCACAAAGGCATCGCTGCGTGCCAACAGCTC